GTCCGTATATATTGTATTCTTATTCACTACTAAGTTGTAAATATTTATTCGCCTAATTTTTTCAAACATATATCTAATAAGATTATTGCTTAAATATTATGAGGATATTGAATATTGAGAAGATGAAGTTCACAGAGTAGTCCAGTGCCTATTCTGACGCTTATGATACCTGATTAAACACACTAAAATAAACAAAAACACAATTTTCTTATCATAGATAGGCCTAGATAAATTGTTTTTGAAAACACAATCTCTGTCTTATTTTCATTTTATTGTCTCAGTATGGATTAGACAAATATAATTTTTATAATATATTTAACTCTCTAACTATTTATAATGATTAATCACTAATATTTTATATTTTGTATGCACAATTATTAAATTTATTTAGTTTAAGACATTTTATAAATTAAAAACACATTCATCAATGTGTTTTTATAATATATGTTTATGTATATTGACTTATAATTAATGTTTTTAACATACATTAACTAATAAAATAATATTTTGAAAATATAATTTTGAAAAAATATATTCTTTTATAAGATACAAAAAAATATTTTATGTACTTATCACAGAAAAAGGAATCTGTATTTTTATAAATAGTTATACATCAAGATTCATTTTAATAATTAATCAACAAACTAAGCCTTAAAAGTTACTAACATATTTATTATATATTAAAAATTAACAATATTTAATATAAAACAAAACAAAAACAAAAACATAAACATTAACAATTTTATAATAATTAAAGAAACAAAAATGGCACATACAATTTTAATGATTATATTATTTACTTTTAGTTTCTGTTTCCTTATGGTTGGTGTTTTGTTTGACTTTTTTGAATAATATTATTTATTTCTTCAGGCAGATTACTGGGATCTGACAGTATTTCTGTAGATGTGCACAGATTTCTCAATGCATTTAAAGCAACTAAAAATAAATGATTGTTGTTACTGCATAATATTTTTTATTTTTTTTTTCAAAAACAATCTGTACAACAAGCACATTTAGTAATTTTGATATAGAATATATACATAATTTTTTTTTWAAAAAACAACAACTTTTAAAGAAGTCACCCATTGGTAACACCTAAGAACTTATAGTTGGATTTAGATCACTTAAGGAGATCTTGATTCCAATTTCGTTTGAGCCTACGAGGGGGGTGCCTGGGATATGCAGTGAAGCCATATCTTTAATGAGAGGATTAGTACTGGAGTTGAGTTGGGAGTGGAAACGGTGGTAGTGAATTTTGGCGTAGTCATTGACATTAGTTACTTTGAGGTCGTTGTGAA